AACGCGTCGCCAACGCGTCGCCAACGCGCCAAGGTGCCTGGCTCTCTGAGGCCGTCACCCGTCCATCCAGCCAAAACCTCACAGCTGCCCATTTTTGGTGAGATTCTTGGAATGGACCCGCTGATATTCAATCCTGCGATGGATGAGTATAAGCAGCGTGAGGATTTGTTATCGATTTGTGACTCATGAAAATCATCAAAGTATAGCGCTCTGACATGTGCCGGTTTCAGGGGAACATGGCGAACAAATGACGTGACATTATGTGAATCTACATATGCCACTGGGTCATTTTGACAAATTCCAAAAAAAACTCACACCACGCTGCAGGAGGGAGTGTAAAATTTAGTAAGATCTGATCTCCTCATGCTTCATCTCGACGACTGTTCCAGACATCTCTCTCACAAGAACATGTACCCCAAAATCATCCAAAATCCAGTAGTTTGGAAAATAGAAAGGAGCCATTGCAAATTAGAATGCAGTTGTGTTTTTCCCTTGTGGTCTTGTTGTTGAAAATGACAGGTTTGACAAAACACGTTCAAGTGTGAACAAAATGCTAACTAGAGTCGACATGCATTAGAAACATGCATCCCAAGAAGCACAAGGCAAGAGTGCATAAGGAAGCGTAATATCCTAAAACAAAGACCCATCTGTGACCAGCCAGTTGTGTTGAATTATTTCAGTCATTTAAGGTATTTCAGTACTGCTTTGTGACTTTGCCACATCCATGACTTCAATGTACTGGTACTGGGTACTGCTCCATTCATACCAGAATCAATTCAAGATCTAGTGACCAGTGTCCACCATATTTGTGGCATTGGTTCTCCTCCCTGGAATGTTGAATCTTCTCCAATCCAAACAGATTTTAGTATATTTTAGTGCCAAAATGGCACACCCAAGTGCTACAGCATCTTGGAGCACATCAAGATCAAGTCAGGTAGCTGACGCTACCTTTCGAGAATTTGGTGCATGCAGCAATTTGGGGATGGGTCAAAAGATGTCAAAACCTATTATTACTAAATTGATGCTAAATGATTACCAGGTGATTGCCATATTTGGGGAAATCAACATTCATCAACATCCATTCGCCAGCTATTTGTGGGTACCTAGGGCGGCAAAGTTTCGGCCCCGCCTTGCCGCGGTACTGCCTCCAACAGTGGGCAGAGCGGCGCATCCAAGGCCGCCGCGGCAGCCAGGTGCAGCCTTTGGCACAAATCTCACCGACTTTCATCGTGTTTTGGATGGTTTTGGATGATGTTCAGATGTTTTTGGGATGTGTTTTGGCATGTTTTGATCATGTTTTGGGGGTTCTTCTTTTTTTGGTATGGTGAAATGAAATGACATGGAATGACATGGAATGACCCAGGAGAATTGAGGAGGGACTGTCGCTTGATGGTTTCATGGCTGCCAAGAGGCTCCAAGAGCCGCCGTCGGCGCCTGGGAAAATTGAGCATGGACTGTTCGAAACTAAAGAAATGCCATGGCTGTTTGCTCAAGCCCCGCTTCCACCTTGTGACGGACCGTTTTGATTAAACGCTACTTCCAACACAATCAAAACACGAATGATATTGAATGATGTTGAATATGTTGAATGGTCAAACTTCTCTTCCACATGTCAAACTTCTCTTCCACATGGTCACATGGTCCAGTGACCGTTGTGACCGTCAGAAATCTGGATCCCACCTCCGAATCACTTTGCAGCTCTCCAGGTCCATGGGAAAAGCCACTGGCAGTCTGAGCCTGGCATCGAATCGATCTATGTCGATCTATGATCCTTCCACACCTGGGGACACAACTGGGGACCCAACAGCCAGCCACTGCTCGGCCAACCTCGGGGAAGCCCTGGGCCTTCCAAAACCTTCCACAGATTATATTTCTATATTATATTTCTATATGCTTGCTGCCAGTATCTGCCAGTTCGCATCGTAAAATCTGATCGTCTCTGCCCCAGGCTGCATCGCACAGCTGCATCAGCGAGTTCCACTTCTGGGACCTTGAAACAAGAGCGCTGTATGCACGACTTTCTGGACACATGAACTAGCCGTGATGTGTTTTAATCGTGGTCACGCAACATGAGTCGTGGATGTAACCCCCTCTCGTTGGAACAGCTGCACTATGCCACAACATGTCACAACCGCCGCAGCTGCCTCATCTGCATCACAGGGATCCTCAATCTCCAGCCCGGCTCCTTCCAGAATCCAGCGGTAGCATGGCCTCGGATGAAGGACTGGGTGGACAAAGGGACGGAGAAGAATCGGTTCATCCCGCTTTCGTTTGCTTCTGCTCTGCGTCTCCTACATATTCCTACATCACCCCCTCCAAGACTAGCACAAACGCCTGAAATATGAACAGCATGCTCGCGCCAGCCCGAACTAGTTGGCCATGTGTGCGTGCTGTCATTCAAATGAATATAATGGATTATAGCCCGAAAGACACACGAGAAAAGCAGCGTATCAAGATTACAAGTAATATCATCCAAGTCAATGTCGTACCACTCAGCACTTTCAAACTGTGCGACCCACTGTTTGGGTCAAGTTGAAAGAGTCAAAAGGATTACTTATGATGACTTCCTGCTCCAATACTAGTCAATATGATCAATATGTGCATGTGCAAAGTGAGAGGCGCCTGAACCTTGAACCACTGATCATCCATGATCCGTGTTAAATCTACAGAATTTTCACAACCAAGAAATGTCAAGAAGTCAAGACCCAAGAATCAAGGCTTTGTTGGGTTTCCCGGCTCTGCGGGGAGGGCAGCCTTGCGAAAAAAAACGAATCAAAGTCATAGTATGTCATAGGCACACCCTCTTTGCAAATGACGAAAAGCGCTCAGCGGCTCAGCGGCTCAGCACGTCTCGGGCCTTGCCTTCACTGCCTTCACTTCCTTCACCACGATCTCCTTCGGATTCATCGGATTTTCTTTCGGATTCGGATCTCCTTCCTTTGGTTTCGGCATCTTCGGCATCTTGTCGTCCACTTTCCTGAGCCGCGAAGTCACACCACGGCCATTGAGGCAGGCAGTCAAGTCATTTGCCAAGCATCGGATTCTCTGGCTCTGCCGGTCTTTGGGTTTCACCTGGTGAACCTCACCAGATCAATATTCCCAGGGAGTACCAACAGGTGCCAACATGGAACAAATGGCCAAACCAATGAAGCCTGTGCCTGTCACGCCCAAGCCCAGCTTCTGGCGAAGTCCCTTCCCGCAGTTGGGTTGTTGCATTTGAATGCATTTGATGGGACGAGTGCTTGCTCAGTAGATTTCTCGCCATCATCTAAGAGTAAAGACATTTCTACATCCAAAACGTCTTGATCAAGAGTAAAGAGCCATTATAAGCGCTCCATTGAAAGACACGTACGCAACGTCGCGTACACATCACATACAGACTCGTACAGACTGATACCCACACCATGGCCACCTGGGAGGCGCCTGCAAGGTCTCCTTGGCGCTATCCCGCATCTTGATGGCCTCTGCATAGTGCCCCAGCCTTGGTGCACGCAGCCGGCGTGGCATGGAGGTACTCTCAAATGGAGAAAAAACAGGCAGGATATGACAGGAAATCAAATGAAATCAATAGAATGCATATGTCCAGTGGAATTGCATGCGCAAATGAAACTCAAAATAATGCAACATAATGCAACCGCATGTCTTCTTCTTGCAGCTAGAGGATTCAAACTTGTGACCCATGGCTGTCCGAACAAAAGCCTTGAGGCCAGCAAACATCCCCTGCTCCAAGTTCTCCTCAGCCATCTGGTTCAACTTTTCAACCTGAAGGCAAGTACACCTGTTAGCCTGACCAGGTGGAGGTATGACCAAGGCGGACCAGGGTGGACCAGGGCAAACTGCCGGATTCGCACCTGATCTTCCAGCTGCTTCAGGAGATCCACCGCATTCGCGCGCATCTCAGTGGAGAGCTGACCGCAGCTGACCGCTGACCGCATTCGCTGCTTCGGGTGCCAAAAGGATTGTGGGAAACCCAACAGAGGGAAAATCACTGAAAATAGACTGACTAGCGCAGCCAGCGCAATGGTGCTTCAATTCTGAGCCAATCCAGGCTAATCGGCTAATCCAGGCAGAAACACCAACCCACAGCCGCTCCGGACCCACTCGGAACTCCCAACTGCATCGGTCTTTGCCGACAGCGCTTGCATCGCCTGTTTGGGTGCCTTCGCCACGTCATTGATAAACATCTCTCCAGCACACGAGGGTGCACTCGTGTGGGTACATGATATGCACGTGGGAAAGGACACATGTACATAAAACATCTATAGGCCACACCATACAAATATAGCAAGCAGGAAACTAAAACTGTTCAGCTGGTTTCAAATAGCAGTAGGAAATTGTGTAGAGATGCTCATTGGAATTCATTTGTCTGATCATGTTGGTAGGGGAATTGATCTGATACCAGGCTGGGAGAAAAAAAACGTGGACATTGCCACACATGTTAAGAAAAAACCCGGCCTTTCGGTTGGTCATGGCGCTCGCAGGGCAAGCTGAATTTCATGGAAGGATCAAATTGCCTTCGATCTGCATATAAAATAGATGTGACAACCTGTCTTACATGATGCCTCTCAAGCATGCTAGCTACTGCCAAAAACAATTCCGAAATGTTTGCGCATCTGATATATATATATATGTGTGTGTGTGTGTGCGTGTGTATGTGTGTCTTTGTGTATACATATACATGTGCGTATACATATATATATATATGCATATGCATATTTATTTACATAACATATCTGTAATATATATATATAAATATCTCTCTCTCTCTCTCTGAGAAATCCCTTGGCGCTTCGAAGTGAAAGTCTGCAGTTCATGAGCTTGCGCAGGTCTCAATCCTGGGAAGGACAACACTATGCAGCGACCAGATTTGTGCCCAAATTCATCCTGAGAGGCGTAAAACATCTGACTGCGCTCCAATGCAAGAGTCAAGAGATGTCAAGAGTGCGGCCAACAGAAAGACTCCACACCTTAAATCACCTTAAGGGATCACCCCGCTACCGTTTTGCGATGTGCGCCTCACACCAAATCTGGCAGCTTCACTCTATTGTTTTCTCTTTTCAGCAGCTCTTCTTGAGCACTGATCGGTCAGCTATTGGAGATGCTTCTTTGCGCTCTGGAAGTGTATTACTTCCTTGAAATCTCGTGCCCAGCTGCCCAGCCCTTCACCGACTTGGGCGTTTTCCCCAACTCGGCCTTTTTCGCATTGCAGCTATTAACTCATACCCAACCCTGTTTCCATGATCACAGCAGCCATTAAAAAGCTCAGCTATAGAAGGCTCTGTTGTCCCGGTGGACCAGGCAGCTACCGGGCCAATTCAGGCTTGTTGTCGCTATCATCATGAACCTCTCTCCGACTCACATCGTGATGGTCATGCTGGTCGTGATGGTGGTCATGATGGTGGTCATGATGGTGGTCATGATGGTGGTCGTGGTGGTTGTGGTCGTGGTCGTGATGGCCTTGATGGTTGTGATGGTCGTGATGATCGTCGGGATTCCTTCTTCCAGTGTCATCTGTGCGGCCAGAGTTGGTATCATCGTCTCTTGCGTCGCCTGCATCGTTCACCTTGGAATTGCTTGCATCATCCACCTTGGAGTCGCTTGCATTGTCTGCCTGGTCACGACCCACAAAGGAGAACCCGCAATATCCGCAATGCTTCACAAAGATACACATCTGCAGGCCATGGAACTCTGCAATTGCTCAGGTGCACACGTATTCACACGTCAACCATAAGCTTCAAATTTGACCCAAAGACGTTAAAGATAGAAGTTTTGCAAAAAAAAATGTCAGTCTGACTGATCCCTGGCGAGCGATTATTGTGGTGGGGTTAGGTCGCTAGGCCGCGAATGGAAACTGCATGAAAACACCATTAAATCAATACCATTCCACATGTTAGGAATGTTTTTGTGACATATCCTAGTCCTTTTTTTGCCTTTGTGTCGGATCATGTACAAAATTTTGAACATCGCACCCGACATCATCCAACCTGGTTAGTCGCAGCCGGTGTCGCGGCTGCAGATCCTCGTCCGAACCATGACAACCTCGAGAGCTCGAAGACTCGAAGACCGTGTTGCGAGAAAAAGGTCAGGGTCCAAAGATAACACTGGGGCTGCTTCAAAATATTTCAAAATGCTTCAAATGTTCCAAAGATTTCCAAACAAAAGTGCTGACATTCGTTGAGATTTGAGATTGGTTGAGATCTGCAGGCGAGCCGCGGATTGAGCAGCCAAGCTCGAGGGGGAAGCATCACTGGCGCAGAGAAGGCCGTTACGGCCGTTACGGCGTTATTGTGTTACGGCGTGACATGACAAAATCACTCTGTGTGGCACACTGTGTGGGATGTTTTTTGGGGTTTTTTTTGGGTGTGATCAAATTCCAAGGACCAGACTCTTGAAGATTTCCGGAACACAGACTCAACAAAACACATCGGGAATTTATTCGTCAAAGCAAGAGGTGCAACTTGCAACAGAAACCTTTTCACGCCACTTCCCCTGGAATTTCCAAACACATCCTTTTAGCAGCCACTCTGGCACTCTTGAATTTGAATTTCAATATTTCATGAAATCACACACAAGCAACCGACTTCATTTCAAACCGGAAAAAACCCTTTGAAGACTAGCTAGATCAGCCACCATCAGCTACAAATCCTATCATTTCCATCAAATTTCTCCCTGGAATCGGCACCTAAGATCTGCTGCCCCCTGGCGCGTGTACATGGGCGGCAGATCCACTGCTCCCTGGCGTTCGTAGCTGGGCAAATCCATGGCGCCCTGGCGCCGCAGCGGCGACGCTGGGGACACCGAGGCATAGCCTGCGACGGGAAAAACCCAGGGATTTTGGGAAAAGATGGGAAAAGATGGGTCAATTTTGCCAATGGCTGGAAAATCTGGAAATGGAGGTTCCTATTGTTTTCCTATATGTTCTCCTTTTGGCAAAATGGGAGAGATGGTAAAGCGGTTTGATACATAACAAATGGACGATCGTTGAAATTATGTCTTGCCATCAATGTGATGTTGCTGACGGAATCTTGGTGGAAAATGGATATCTCATGATATCTCTGCTATTCTGTGCTGCTTTTGAAGATTTTGAAGTGCTTCTTTTTTTTGATTTTTTGATCCAGTTGGAGATCACCCAAAACGAAGCCTGGACGAGGCGACCGCGCTTTGATGTAGAACATGGCTGCAGCCACCAACAAACTCAGCACCAGCCTGAGCTGCAAATGACAGGTATCGATATGTAGCAGGTCCAGATTCCGTCGTGAAGCCATCTCTAATTGTTGCAGAATATTACAGAACTATTTTGACTTTTAACTGCTTGAACACCTTCCGAGACCCGGCCACTGGATGCTACACTACACCACTTTGCGGACATCGACATTGCAAACAACTTCGACAATTCGGATCAATTCGATCAATTCGGCGTCAAGTAGCCACACCGCCATGAAGTGCACCTGGGCGTAGACGACTCGCTGTGGAACCGTCACAATCACCAGCAACCAGCTCGAGCGAACGATGGAGGATGCCCATAGAAGGCCCACGGCTATTCCTTGGTGACAGCCACATATGCCAGATCCATCCTTTCCATTCCGATCACAATGGGAAAAGCCACAGAAATCCACATGTCTATGAACTATGGCTTACCTGAGGGCTTACCTGTCTACATCATTCTACATCCTGAAAATATTTGAGAAAGCTGTTTTGGCTTCCGTTCCCATGATTTCCATGATTCTCATATTGGATCCCCAGCATGTCTTGCCCATCCACACATCCACACGTCGCATCTCTTTGCTGCGGCCGGGAAACCCAAAGGCTTTGGCAAACTACTAGTAGTGACTGGGACCGTCGCCGACCTGGCGCTGCTGAATCTGGTCCAGACTGGCTGCAGGAGATGCTGTTCAAACGGAGATTTGAAACGGGAAAAAATATGAAAAAAAAACAAAATTCTTACAGGAAGTGTTTCGGTAAGTCTTGCGATGGATTCAGGCATTCATATTCAACCCATCTCAACCCTTTTCCCAGGTCAGAATACTTCAGAATACTTGAAACATTCTTCCCACACTCACATCCCGCCTGCTATCAGTCCTGTCAGGCAGCTCAACACTCAAGAGCTGCGCCATCAGGGCGGTCAAGGAGACACACAAGAGCAGCTGCGCTCCTGGAGTTAATTCTCCATGAGGGAACCAATGGGGGATTAACATGACAGATCAAACCGCCATGGAAAACTCCTAGGATGAAACTAAGGGAATGTGTTTCAAGTGTGAAACAATATCCACGAAACATATACCTCACATCCGTGTATTCGGATTGCATTCATGATTATAATCACAATGATTGTAATAAAACTGCACAACAAACTGTCATCATGAGTATACAGTATACACAGATAATACAGATACGCACATGTGTTTGATGGTGGTTGATGATCAACGGATGTTCCATGTCCACTTTTTTGTCGATCTCCTTGGTTCGGGAAAAGCAGCAGCTTCCCCAGCCACTGCGAGGCCCGAATGGCAGCCCAGCAGGCACTTAGGGAAGCCACCTGATGGCTCTCATGGGCCTTGCAGCCAGTGCAGCCAGGTCACAAAGACATGTTTCAGGCCAACTGAGGCTGAGGAATGAATGGAATGATCCAGCAATGATTGACACATGGCTCACATGACACCTTATCTCAAGGAAAAGCTGAAAACCACTATCGAAGGTAAGGGATATAAGTTTATAACGTTCAGCAAAGTTTGACATCCGAATGCAGAGAGCACCAAGAAAATGCGGGCATGATTTGTGCCCCAACCATTAGTAAATAAAATTCCGCTTAGATTAGCATCTGCAAAGCCAAGTGGATCCAGGCAATAATGAAAATATAGTATCCTTCAGGCCATCTCCTTTCCCATAGCAGCAATTGTGAGTTGTTTATGCTTATAACTTGTAATTCATTATATATCTTATCCAAGACTTGCAACAAGGACTACCTTTCCAAGCACCTTGCGGTGTTCCAGCCACTGGGAGGCAGCAAAAACGATGCAACTGAGGGCGTAGAGTACCAGCACCAAACCTCGGATGTTCCAGGCCATGAAACCACGATGCACCCTGCGCCAAAAATGCCGACCTGCTGCAGACCAGTGGCGGAATGGTGCGGTTTCTCCTGGTGCCAAACCATCCTGTCACACTGTGTCACACTGTGTCACACTGTGTCGGACTGTGTCCCACGACTGGTGTTCCAGTGTTCCACCACCAAGCTGATCCAGGCTGGCAGTTCAATTTTCAACTACAACTAAAACTGAGACATTCAGTGACGTCCAAATTCTCTGGAATGCACCCCATGTCCATTTCCCACATCACACCGGGATGCTGCACCTGCACGACACCAAGACGATTCAGCAGAATCTCTGGGCCAAACTCACCCAGCAAGCCGAAGGTCAGGACCTCCACAGACAGCAAAGCCGGTGGTGCCAGCAGCGTTGAACGATGATCCGCCCGGGGAACGCGATTCATCTTGGCCCACCAGCCTCCAGCTGATGCATATTGCAGATGTTTCACCATCGACAGCAAGGGCAGTATGAAAGGTGAGCTACAAATCACTACAAATGCCACAAACAGGTGCACCACAGGTTGGATGATGATTATTCAAAGGTCAGTTGCGTTGGGAAAAAAACAACAAAAAATATGTGCATCCCCAAGTTCTGGCCTACCAGTCCATCAAGCGCCAGCAGGAGCATTTGGTAAAACATCAGCGCTGCCGCAGCCTCGCGAAGGCTTCAAGGCTTCGGAATCGCAGTTCGGGGCGTGATGGCCGTCCCACTTTAAACAGTACCCAACCACTTGGGCTTAAAATTACCAGCCAAAGGCATCGCCCCAACATGGCCAACAATATATCCAACAGTGTGACATTTCCATGCTTTTCCCACAGGTCTACTTCAGCATGTCTTCATCGTCCAATTCCCAACCGTTCCTCCATGCAGCTGTTGTCAAAGCATCGCAGGTAAGCTCCACCGGCATCTACACCCGCCAAGCCGGTGGAGAAACCTCCATACAGACCAGCGTTGTTACAATGGCTACTGAATTCACTGCCTCCTGTCACAACTGGTGCCATTGACAGCTTGTAAATAATGTAGCACTAATTAATTTAATACAGATAGATAAAGAGATATAAAGAGAGATATATACGTATGTAAAGAGATAAAATTAGGATATAGAGAGAGTAGATTAGATTAGATTTAGATTTAAATTCAGATTTAGATTAGATTAGATACGTTAGGTAGAAGAAGATTCATGATCCTGATGTAAACCTGATACATGTTGTTTCCACAAGTTGCTTTGCTTCATGACTGTCAGGATCAAGGCACCCAAAATCTCCACGATATCCAAACGGGCGGTCCTGTGGCTGGGCCAGGTTCAGCCAACCATGGTTTGGGCCTATCCATTTGCAATCGGCCATCAGTTCATCATCGGTTCATCGGTTCATCGGTTCATCATCCCTCATCATCACCATCATCATCATCATTATCATCATCATCATTATCATCATCATCATCACCATCATCAACATCATCATCATCATTATCATTATCATTATCATCATTATCATCATCATCATTATCATCATCATCATCATAATCGTCATTATCATCATCATCATCATTATTATCATCATCATCATCATTATCATCATCATTATCACTATCATTATCATCATCATCATCATCGTCATCATCATCATCATCATTATCATCATCATCATCAATTATCATCATCAATGATCATCATCAATGATCATCATCAATGATCATGATCATGATTCATGATCATCATAATCATCATCATCATCACCACCATCATCGTCGTCGTCGTCGTCGTCGTCGTCATCATCATCATCATCATTGCCATCTCTCTCACCATCACCATCGTCATCATCATCTTCTTCTTCTCCTTCTTCTCCTTCTTCTCCTTCTTCTCCTTCTTCTCCTTCTTCTCCTTCTTCTCCTTCTCCTTCTCCTTCTCCTTCTTCTTCTTCTTCTTCTTTCTTCTTCTTCTTCTTCATTGTCATCGTCACCGTCGTCATCGTCATCGTCATCATCATCGTCATCATCATCATCATCATCATGCTCATCATCGTCATCGTCATCGTCGTCGTCTTCTTCTTCTTCCAATGGCATCAAAGATTCCAGGCTTGTTTCGGGCCAGGTACTTCCTCATAAATCACCCAAACAAAACAAATCCCATGTTTCGTGCTTTTTCAGTTGTCCAAGGTCCATTGTCCATTCACCTCATGGCTGGGTTAACATGGCAAGCTCCTCCGGTCATAGGGCTTCAAGAAAAGGCTGGCCTGGAATCTGAAATGACCCAGTCGGGGCTGTGAGCAACTCCATTCACAGTGAGGACCTTGAGTATCTTGAGTCTCTTTGCAGCCAAAACAAGTCAGCCAAAGTAGATTACACTCTGTCATTTAGATTCATTTCGAAGGGGGAAACAAAACCATGATGCTTGGCCAGCAAATGATTTACATACGAGACATACTGAGCTTGTGTGAAGTGACCCTTGCTTCATTTGTTCAAAGAGGCTGCCACCATGTTCCTTGCCTGAAAAAGAAGCCACAGGACCAGGAAGAAGAAGATGGCTGGTGCTACCTGTACCTCATGGCCATCTCATGGGCATCTCATGGGCATTTCATGCTGCTCATGGCCAGGCTGGCCAGGATCCACAACTCAGATACCAACCCAGAACGGCACAGCGCCGCCAGCAAAAAGACTCCGCAGCACGAAGAAGCACACAGCACAAATCGTGCTGACCTGTTTAAATTTCCAATGAGTGGCAGTTGACGATTTCATGTTCATTCATTTTCCATATGCCTGAAGGAATCAGACTCTTGCATGCTGCTTGATCTGCATCCGAGGCCAAGGCAACGAGACTTCGCAAGAATGACCTGAAATTCGGCACCGGCAAAGGATTCTTCCAACGTGGTCCGTGGTCAGCACCGATACTCCGCAGTCACTCTGGGGCACTGGCAAAGAACCGTCGTTGATCTTCCCATCCCACTTTTCACCTTGTGCAATTCTGTCAAGTTGTCAAAGTTGTCAACCTCCTTTTTTCCACTGCGGTTCATCACTTTATTGACATAAGCATCCATACTCATTGTTCCTGATTCTTCCTCATTGTTCCTCATCCTCATCGTTACGTAAAATGGAGCTTCATTGTGTTTCAATATACTTCAATCATCTCCTGCCCTCTCACCAACAGTCACCAACGGCCACCAACGCCCAGCTGCGGGAGAGCTCCGCTGGAAGCAACACCAAACCAATCGAGGCCAAAGCCTCAGCTGTGCCGCGGGCCTCTGCCGACAGATCCGGACAGCCTGACAGCTCAGTTTACTCTTGATCTAGGGTCAAGCTAGGTCACGCTGAGTCGAGCTGATCCGGCCAGGGCACAATGAATACATCCCGCACCCCGTGAGTCTTTCCAGCTCTCTGCTCCTCTGCCATAGCCCACGAAGGCCTCTGGCAGACCAGTGCAGACCATGATCTGTTTCTGGGTCTGTCCTTGGGGATATCCCACTATATGAAATCCTCTGCTCCATTTTTCCCTGGTCTTCTCAGGCTACTGACCTAACAGCACCTAAAACCCCATAGATCCTGATACATCAGACATGATATAACCATGGTGCATTCTCTTCATGCTCAGTTGTTCAAAGGATTTCGGCACGTCCATCTTCGAGGCTGTCATGTTGGAAACGACCCTTTGCACGATGTCGATCCCACTATGGCCTTGGTTCAGCATAGATTTCGGCTGAAGTTGCACTGAGCGCTTCATCGTCACCATGGTGGTGGTGGTGACCATGGTGGGTACCATGGTGGGGACCATGGTGGGGACCATGGTGGGGACCATGGTGATGACCATCGTGATGACCATCGTGATGACCATGGTGACCATGGTGATGTTCAGGGTTACGTTCCTGGTGATGGCTGCTGGTGACCTTGCGGTCTTCCCAAATGACGTCCATCGGCAACGCCGCCTAGGCAAAATGTGTGTGGAATGTGCAAAACATGCCGAGAATATATGACCATATGCCAGCTGTGCCCTTACCCTTGGAATCTGGATTTGCCGTAATATGACACATGAACACCTGGCTGTTGACCGGCTCCAGCCCTTGGCAAAGGTCAGCATCCATCCGCCCAACCTGACGGCAAGACATGGCAATATGCTTTTTGGACCAGAATAGATGTCAAAATGTGTCAAATTTAGTGCCTTAAGGCGATGAGCGAACAATCATGAGCAATCAATCGGAAATCCCTGTTGATTTGACAAGAGATCACGTTGGACCGTTGGATCATCCTGAAGACCTACGGCTGATGAAATACCGACCGCTTTCCCAAAGAGCCCCAGGTCAGAAATACCTCGGCACTGCTCAGCATCATCTTTCGAACTCAAATGACTCAAATGACTCAAATGACTTCATCTGGGACAGCTGGGAATTCAGCTACATCCTCAGGCGCATAGCCCAGCAGTTGCTTGGCTCGTGCTGGATTTAAGTAAGGCCGCAGGACCGCCTGCAAGTCGCGGCGCAGTGCCTGTTTGTCAATGTCCCGTGAGGGACAAAAATCAAAGATCTTCACGAGTCCTCGATGACCGTCCTGCCGTGCTGGGGCTGGGGATGGATTTGCTGCATCAAGGAAGAGATCTGGATGAGGCACCAGTCGCACTTGTCCCTCCAACGGGCATTGCTGTTGCAGCCACGCTGTGAGTGGAATTCCGCGTGGAGCAAGGGCTCCAAGTGGTTGGGCGCCATAGGCGAAGGCATCCACAACAGATTTGTGAATAAAGATCTGCAGCACCTGTCCAAGTGGCTCAGTGCCACCAAGACCATAGTCATCGCCAATGGTCTTGATGCGAGCTTTCAAGCTGGAAAGTACATCTGGTTCGGTAATGCCAGCGGCTGAAAGCAAGTCCTCAATCAGCTTGTTGACATAGTTGGCGGTTCCACTCGGAAAGCCTCCCCACAAATACTGCTGCATGCTTTTGTGGTATCCCCCACTGGCAAAGCAGGAGGAAAATGCCGACACTGCCAGGGATCGATATTCATGGGCACGGTCACTCACGTTCCGCTCACGTACCGAAAGCAGGTTGGAGAGCGACCGCAGATCGGCAAAGGCTCTGCGGGAGAACCGCAACACCGGTGGGGCAGTGATTGGATATTCCAAGAGCTCCACTGCCAAGACCGTCTGAAGCTCGTACAGCAGGCTGGAAATTGAATAAAGATGATACAGCGGAACAAAGGCTTCAGAAAAGCGCTTTTCATTTGCCAACATCTGATGGACAACACTACTTGCTTTCGCTCTTGCGGATGCTTCCAAGGATTGCAGGAATCTGCCATGGATAGTCTTCATGTCCGTGCGACCCTGCAATGAAGGGGTTGAAGCATAGGAGGCCCAGTCCTCCTCCTGGATTGCGCCCAAAGGATGGACGTGGCTACCCTGGCTACCCTGGCTACCCTGGCCGTGATTGTGGCCATCCCCCATGGGACCCTGCAAGGCCTGCTGCATGTCGCTCAACAGTGGCTCGGTGCCAAAGGATCCAAGGGGCAACCTGGAACGGTTCGACCTCCGGCGACACATCAAGTAACCTTTGCACGCCAACAGCAGCGCCAAGGCCGCACAATCCACCACAAACACCACAAGGCCATAGCTGTTGATCGTCCAATTCCGTGACACCAGCAACAGCAGGATCATGGTTGTTAGTCGTGCCTCAGAAGTCTGAAAGGTACGGACAAATCCCAGCCTGATGCGGCCAAAGCAGGGCTGCGTGCGCGCCACCAAATGCCCCACAGCAAAGATCATGGCAAGGATCATCACTGTCATGGTGAGAATGGAAATCCACGGGGTTGGGTTGAGCGGTGCAGAAGTGAGAGCAGTAAGAAAAAACCAACACAGTAGAATTAAGGTTGGCGGCTTTGGTGGAAGCATAATGGCCAGGGCCACACTCATGGTCGCAAACAGGATCATTCTGCCATCTGTTGACATGGTCAGAACCAAGAGGCTGGCAAAAGGCAAGGTGCGTTGCACCAGGCTCATGAAGAAAACAGTGGTGCAGGCAGCGCAACGGAGTTTCAACATCTGCGAGGAGCCTCGGTGTAAACAAATGGCAACTGGCAGAGCTGCATCCAAATCGATCCCCGCCAAACGCAGCTCCTCTGTTGCAGACTCGAAGTACTGGCTATCGGGATAACCGTGCATTGCTGGACCTCCAGTCATTGAGGTCTTCAAATGGATGGCAAAGGTTGGTTGCCAACGCCGTGTAGTCAGCGATTCAGTGAGGCTAAAGAGCACCCGGCGCCGAAAGGCCAACTGAAACATGGCCAGGAGCTTTCTGCCCTCCTCGTTGTTGGGGAGATATGCATGTTGAGAACGTCCATCATAGACCTGGCCATTGGAGCTACCACTCTGAAAGTTGAAATGCAAAACGATGGTGGAACATGTGTGACCTGCCAAGGGAGCTCTTCTCCAACTCCAGGACATCGAGCCATCTGGCATCGACCCCATGCGATCTCCATAGAACTGGCCGCAGGTGGGACATGATGGCCTTTGTTCAAACCAGCTTTCCAAACAGCTGCCATGATATTGATGGCCACATGGCAACTTGGCATCGGCGTTTTCGTCCAAACAGATGCAGCAGGTGCGATCTCTGCGATCTGTGCGATCTCGCTCCAACAGCTCCAGCGGCTCCAGCGGCTCCAGGATGTCGCTGGCCTTCGGTTGACGCAACTCCGCCGCGTCCTGCGGTAGGACCAAACGACAGGCGGGGGACAGCGCAGGGGACAGGCCGTGGGACAGCGCCATGGCCGGAAGATGCCGGAAGATGCCGGAAGGTGGCTGGAAACTCCGGAAACTGTTGGTTAATGTTGATTATAATCGGTTGAGGGTGGTATTTTTGTGTATATGATTGTATGCGTGATTTGTACATGTAACTATTGCTGGATGATGTTACCTGAAAACGTCTTGTGCTCAATGAATCTGCACAGTACATCTGAGATCTGTACCTACGTCATATTATATCTCTCTCGACTCGTGCGTTCTCAGCGATGCATGCACGTATGATGCATATGCTGCCTTATATGTACAGTAGCAGATTATGTGAACATGTGTTGGTGTGACACATGCCACCTGTTGAACTTAGCACGCTATGGATCTGATGTATCTGTCTGCAGTGAGCAGTTCTACCACTACAGGTTGTTGAGTATTTATCCACATCTTTCCGTGCAAACACTCATCATGCACATTGTTGGCGCAGCATTAATTCAATTCCGTGAACACACATGCAGCCTATGCAGCTGTCTTGCTTATACGCTTTCCATGGAAGTCAGCCGTTTGACCCTGGTCTGCATCTGGGCCAAAGGGCTTTAGAACTCGACCCGTTGACATTCAAAAAGCTCATCTTTCTCGCTTTTTGAGTTGCTGTTGCTGTTCCTATCCCCAAAGGATGAAAGGTAGCAGGCACCTGCAACATTCCAATGCCGCGGGCGTTCCTGCCATGGGCTCAAACTGGACCATGCACACTTCCATGCTCCGTGAAAGTGCAAGCCAACTACAGCACGGATACAATTCATGGGATTGAGCCGATTGAACCGATTGAACCTCTAGACGATGGCATCTTCATTTGGAAGAACAAATGGTATGTCACGGTATCTCTTTAGACGCTGTGTCAGCGATTTGTGATGATTGACAGCGGGCCCGCGCCTAGGTGAAAAGTAGAGGACCCCGTTGAAGTAGATGCCAGTAGCGAACCTACGCAATCGAGGCAGTTCACAATTTTTTTGTCCGAAAATGTCCTGCCAGGAAGCTTAAAATCCATGGAGATCTTGCTGCGAATGTCCTGAGTTTGAACCAGTTCTGACCACAGAGATCGGGATCAAAATCATCACGTACCGACATCCCGTGGCCCAAATGTGGGTGTGATCTAAATTTGACCCTTCATGACACTAACCGTCATAATGTGGTAAACTGCTAAACCCAACGTTAAGCCATCCCAGTCAATTATCAATCATTTGGCAGTCATTGTCCATTATCCCGGAATCCCATACAATGACCCTCTTTTAAACCCCAATTAGGGATGGGTCATGGTTGGCTTTACCCATGAAGTATTTCGCCAAGTATCCACCTGAGCATATTCCCTGGTGGCTGCTTCGAAAACGCCCACAGCATCTGCCATGTCAGGCACGAAGTACGTCAAGCTGCCCACCTGCACCATGGAACCCATGGATGGACCATGGACCGTCGACCCAGGAGAACCTACCAATGGAAAATATGTGAAACAGAACATGTCGATACATATCCTTAGATATCATCCAATAAACAGGGCCAATGTGGGCAAATCATCCAAGCACAATCAACATCAATCAACTATAATCAACTGGCAATGTGAATATGACAGGAATATGCAGGATATGTCCAGCAAAAAATGGAGCAAAATCCTAGTGTTTCCCATTGGAATTGGCGCGCCAACCCGGCTGAGCCTGGATCGCACCCCAAAACTTGTAATTCTCTGCAGCGAGGTTTGGGATTTTCACGAGTTCGAAGTGGTGGTTCTCGAGATACAGGGCGCCCACAGCATTGGCGTTGAAGGGCACAAAGTAGATCACACCATTCTGCACGAAGGCATCGGTAAACCTTGACTCGTGAGAATCGGGCAATGGCTTTCACCGCACCTTCCAAGTAAGTCCCACAGCATTGTCTTAAGTCATGAGATGTCATGAGTCATAAGGTGATATAAGGTGTGTTCCAGCTCGGACCCAATGGTTTTCCTGCCAAATTGCTGTTGAATGTATGCCTGCGCTCTATGGTGAGGCTGAGTGTGTATCTCTGCCATCTATGCCATCTCTGGGTGTGCATTTCAAGGATCGCTGTTTTGTTCCACAGCTTGCTGCCCAGGAACTTCATATCCCCGACCGTGCTTCTGGAGATATCAATGGTCTGGAAGTGTTCACTTTGGACATCCAGCACGCCGATGTTGTCCGCATTGTATGGAGCCTGGGGGTGCAACACCCTGACGTGGATGTGGTCACAAGCAGCTGATTTTCCAAGCAAATCTAAAAAATGGAGATTTGGAAATACAGGCGGGCAGTTCCTGGCTAACAATTGGCCAAGGTTCGAAGTAGCACTTTCCATCATGCAGTACCTGAATGAACTTCGGGCAAAATATCTTCAAACTAAACCTTGCAACACTTTATAATTTGAGACCTACGAGTAGTTGAAGGTTCTGCCTATTACTTTCCCTATGATTCCATGTCATTTTGCTGTATTTTGCCGTCAAGATGCTCCTCCACGGTATTTCCATTTGCCCGCGCCCGCCCCAATGGGAATGGTTCTGAAGCTCCTCGACTCCATGTCCAGGACGCCTGGCACCACATTCGACACACAGATGTGGCGCACGTGGCGCGGCGCGTGGCGCGTGTGGCGCGCCTATGTTCTCCGCACTGCTGGGCACAAAGTAAGCCATGGATCCGCGTTGAATCGCGGCGCTGTATTTGCACTCTTCAGAGCCGGCGGAGATCCCCAACCGTCCTGAGAACACCAACGCCAGCGATCGCCAGCGCCCCAAACATCGTCAACAGCCCATCTCCGGCCCCTCACATTCCAGCCATGGCTCCGAAACGCTCAGTCTTTAGATCGAACACTCCCACGTGGTCAGCCCCATATGGCGTGAAATATGCCACTTCGTTGTAAAGCACCTTGTAGCCATGGGGCACCCTGCAAAAACATAACATGTGCATTACATCTGTTACATGTTACATCATGGAAGCGACAGCCATGGCAGTCATGACAGTCATGACAGTCGTTGCAGCCATTCCCATGGATCCTGTAACAAGGTCGGACAAGCTGCTCCCGAAGAATACTTGAACTCACCACGGGCGAAGGATGAAATATCGACGGTGCGAAAGGTCCTAATCGCATGCAAGGCAGGCGCCCAAATGAAAGATATGAAAGCCTACAATTTTGCAACATCTCTCTAAGATTCTCGAAGTATCATTGATATCATTGACCATTGAGCATCCTCCGTAGGATGCTCTGCTATTACATCAAATCCATGGGCAAGTGCTTGACATGACAGGACTGCTTGCAGCTCAATTCACCAGCTCGCAGTCTCGAAAATGCCCACGTTGTCCGCATTGAAGGGTACGAAGTAGAGAGTGCAATAAGCAGTGGGCCCATGCCTTAGGCAGCTTTAGCAAAGCTATCACTGAGAACCACCACCGATGCTCCAAGGCCCCCCACAAGATGCTGCTGTATTTGTAACCTGCAATTTTCATGCTGGGAGAAGACCCAATGGGCACAACTCAAAACTGGTGAGAGGGGGGGGGAACATGAAAATGATTAAAAATGCATTCCAAAATCTACAGAATCTACGTACCAGAATGATTGAAAGGAGGATATGTCGGAGCAAGCTTGCTGCAAATCAAGGAGCTAAGGTCTGCTTCGTCACCTGGGATGTCCATCATTCCAAAATGCATGGCGGAAGTCAACTGCTCCAGATGGGCCTGGCAGTGCATCGCCACATATTTCGCCACTCAAACGGCGGACGTCTTGGGGACGTCTTGGGGATGTGAAGCTTGGAAAATACATCATCCACATGATGACGCAATGTGTGTGATAAAGCATATGGCAAAGTAGTGCACGCGTTGAATATGGGATCCCTTTCTTTCTCTCCATTGCAATGTGGTCAAGTTCAGCCTAGGGATATCTTGCATTATAATTCATGACACAAGTAGACATACAGTAGATGAGACATAGGATGATAGGATATGATACACCTTGAGATGCATCGTGTCGTGCGAATGACTTCCCCAGCCAGCCTTGGCAGAAGCTGTTGCAGCCTTTGACACCACAGTGGACGCATCCAGCAACACCTTTCACAGGAAAGGTGAAACACTCCCCACAAAAAATTGAACCCATCTCAACGGTGAAGAACTCAATCAAGAAAGTTCAAATGGACTATCCATCAAGCGTGCAAAACTTTATAAAACTCTCCCAGCAACTTCAGCTTCAAATGGCTTCGAATATAATGATTTCATGTGATTTCCCACCTCCAAGCCACTATAGTCACTATGGTCACGGCGACCTTCAGGGTGGTCATCGCTCACCTCTCGGCTGACACCGCCCAGTTCACCCAGCTCGGCACATCGGCAGAATCTGCACATGTTTCGGCAGCGTCGAGTTACAACTGAGACCCAGGCACCACCAATGCCTCAGACGCGCCAGGTTGAGCCAGGGATCTAACATGCCCGTCACAATGCCTATGCCTTTGCATATCAATCCATATAATACAATTACCCAATTACCAGTTTCAGTTATCTCTCTGTATCTAAATAAGCTATCCCACCTTTGAGAGTAAAATTTCATACACAACTCCACATCTCCACCTCCTGGTCTCAATGACCATAGCTGCTATAGCTTCAGCCAAGTTTCGGCATTGATCCTGCGGTGGCAGCTCCCATGACTACGACTCGATACGACTACCAGGTTCCCTTGAGGCGTACTGAGGACCCGACACTGCAATCGTCGTATGGAAAGGGTCCAGCACTCGCAGGTCGGCAGGCTCCGTCCGAACTGCAGCTGTGTCATTTGCGAGAAGACTCCAACATCCTACTGCTGGGAAGTTGCAGAATTCGCAGTTGAGGGTCTAGCTGTAAAATTTGACTTGCCATTGTGGGGCCCCTATGGCACTGCGAGGCCGGGCTAAGAATAAAATTGTGGCCTAAGAAGGACTGTTTGACAAACGTACCAAATGTGAAGTCATCAACGACAGCAACAACAGCTGGCCTCAAGAATGCCTTCGTGTTGTATTGGTAGTGTAGCTGCCTCAGACCTGTGTGGAAGTTAAATGTTGGATGCTATACGATATTCTACGATCTATGGCCAATCTTTTGTGCAAGTTGAATGCCAATGCTTGCTTGATGCCTTTTCCGTCTTGATTTTTTTGTGGGAAGTGACTTGTTGACGCTCCAAGAATTTGGAAGCGAGACAATTACCACAGGCACGTGGCTTGAAAGCTCTTGGTACGTGGCTCTTGGACTGCTTCCAAGTCACAATGGAAGCCCCCTGGACCCTTCCAGTTCCACTCCGCAGGACCTGTGCATATTGCCGGAGCAGTTGCAGCTCAATGCAATGAGTCTCAATGATTCGAAATGGATGATACTGATTCTGGCAAAGACTTGCACATCTTGCACTCAACACAAATAATCCTTCGGGAACTGGGAAAACGATATCGTTTTACACCGACTTTTTGGGCCAAATTGGGTCAACTATTGGGAATTGGGAAGGTGTGCTTCGAATGATGGGAATGATGGGAATCCGGCATTTGTGTAAGCCAAATGCCAAATCTCCGCAGTTTGGTTGTGTAATGTTGTGTATAAATGCTCTCCCAGCGACATTGCGACACCGTACTTGGAGGGCAAGATGGCACACGGCCCTCAAACATCTCAAATGCACACAAACACGACAAAAGCATACAAAAGCCACTTGCATGGGTTCAACATCAACATCAAGTGCTGCACATTGAACCATCTAATGACCATCTAACGCAAACTGTAGCGCTGGGACCAAATCGTAACGCTGCATCCTGCCTCTGCTCCTGTCTTCCCTTGGATGCCTGGAGCCGATCGCGTCAGCTGCACAGTGCTCTATGCTCTATCCATCGCTCAACACCGCTGCAGCCAAGTTTCGGCACTGGTCCTGACTTTCCAAAAGCGTGTGGGTTGAATCAGTTGAACATCAATCATCAAATCCCAGGTCTCTGATCAGCGCATGGTTTCCCAATGTTTCCCATGTTTCCGATGGTATCCCATGATCTTCCCGAGATCATCGAAACTAAAGCCCCACCTAGTCTGAGAGCTGAGGACCCGACACTGCAATCATCGTATGGAAAGGGTCCGGCACTCGCAGGTCGGCAGGCTCCAGCAGAACTGCACAAAAAGAACACAGCTCCGAGTCGATTGAGTCGATGTGATCGACTAACACAGGCGGAGACTACGCCCAAAATCCGGACAAATCTTTGGTTGTCTGGACCTTTATGCAAGGTGGAATCCAAGCACCCCCATTTTCCGAGTCATTTTCTCCTGGCATTCCGAGTCAATCAAGACCCCAAGTGTTGCATCAATGGAATCCAGGAATCCAGTCTCAGGCCTTGCCTCAGGTATGCCTCTTCTGAAGTCTGATAGTGCAGCTTGTGATTGCCTCGGCCAACGACTTCTCCTCCATCCTCCATCCTCCACTCGAAGTGCCAAGATATGCCAAGTCACAATGAAAGCCACCCACGTTGCCGTCATACTCCCATTCAATGGGACCTGACTTGGAAGCTTCTCCCAGGTGATTGCTGAAAGTGTCACGGTGCTGTCCCAGCCACATCGGTGCACCATGCTGGCTTCGCAGGACGGCACATTGGCCTCAAGCTTGATTTGCAGCTCAGACGAAGGTGTGACAACGCACTTGTTCTGTGATTTTGAGGGAGCTCATTGCTGGAGGCAAATTTCTTTGCCTCTTCTCCCCATCTATTAGCCCATCTATTCAAATTTATTCAAATATCTGAGGAAATGTCTTTGATGGATACACTACATGAATCCCTTGCCACATTCTCTTTGTCCAAGCTTTGCCAATGCAACTGTCGTAACTGTGGCCAAGCAGCAGAATGTTCCGAAGTCCCGATGGCACCCGGTCCTTCGCGAAGCCGTCCAACCACCTGCAGCGAAATCCACGAAATCCACGGGAAGGTCGGCATGCGGAACATGCGGAACGAATGCCTGAGATATCTGAGATCCCCGGACCAAGAGATTGCTGTCGTCCGACTGTCGCCAATTCTCATGCAAAAGGCCTTGGCACCGGAGGAATTGGAGACCCGGACCTTCACTCTATCAACGTTTCCTGCTCATACCACAGTTCAAATCATAGAACGGAGGAAGAAAGTAGAAAGCACAAGCCTTCACTCATCTTGGTACAAACTAAAGTGCCTCTTTCCAATGTTTACAAGCTAATTAAAAGCTAACATCATATCAATCCCTAGGTTGCACAATTTTCTCCCAAACTGAATGATACTAGTAGGTCCTGCAGGCTGCCCTGCAATGGGATCCTTTCAGCTCACATCTGTTGACCACCTGTGACATCTCCACGGCGAAGCCTGGCACCATCTGTTGCCCAAAGTGGAATGCTTAAAATGATACACAAAATCAGCTGGTTCTACCGGCACTTGTGTATATATATATGTGTGTGTGTATGTATATAGTATATACACATATATACTGGTATATATATATATAACATATGTGTATAAATATATCATCCTGTATCAACCATAAGCCAATCCAAATATCAACAAAGGTTCTTTGACACTGCTCAGCTGAGTATAAACTGGACATCAATCATGTCAGGAGGGCAACCCGGCGTGGCATCACAAAGCCTGAGGCATCTCGAATAATGTATAAGAATGTGACATGTGATGTGTCCATAGTTTATTCATGTTTATTCTGACAACTCAACCCATATAAGTTGACCCAATCCAAAGCTGCGTTGTCTCAAAACTTGTGGCATTGGCTCTGTACCCCGGAGGGCAATCCCTGCATCCTATCAGATTATCAACTCAGAAGATCTGGGCCCTCGACGCCATGCATTGATTCACATCCAAACAAACGGCTTTGAAGCCTTTTGAGAGGGCCCTCGGCGAATCAGCGCTTGGTTTGGTCCCTGCGTTTCTTGGGGTGGTGCTGGTGGAATGCGCCAAAGACCCGTTGTGTGGTGGAGACTCTCATCTTTTTCACGCTCAGCGGGCGTTCTCGGTCGCACCGATTCGAAGTCACTTCCTGCTCTTCTTGCGCCCGCGCTTCACATCCAGTAGCTCATCTGGTGGATTTGACAACGATTTGAAGGTACCTCCGTTACTGTGGCATTTCAGCTCTGAATGTGTCAGATTTCATATGCTCGAAAACCTCCGGAGTGTTACCCACTATAGTAGCTATTGTAAAAATCTGACATCTGCACCCTGCCTTGAGACGGGTTCATGATGGTGCTGTAGAGAGTGATGCCCTTCTCGTAGATGGGATGCTTCCACAAGACCGACCACAGCTCCGACTCCTCGACCTTGAGGCGGTGGGGAAAGGGTACCACACAATGACTCTGACAATGAGACAATGACCAAATGTGCCAGGGTCCTCCAGAGAAAAATGAGTCTGCTGATGGTAAAGGATAGAAAATGACTCTGCTGATGGTTTTTTGGTCCAAACATGTCCAAACCGTCCTTTTGCCACTTCCTTGGACTAGTGACTAGACACTCCTTATTTCCGGTCTACTCTCACAAGCGCCCCTTGCCCAAAAAGCCTTGCATGACATGTTCAAATATTTTCCGTTCAAGGCCATATCCGACAGTTGCTGCATCTTTGGAAACATCATATATAAGTTGTAATAATGGACCTGGATCTCTGATGATCTCTGAATCTGTTGCAACCAAAGTTACATAGCCGCGCGTCATGGGCACTTGCAGCATCGCCTCTACCAGCTTGCAGCGTTCCAGGGACTGCTGGCTGTCATTGGCCGCATCATCGTCCCAGTGATCCATATTCGCTTGCACCATAAACCTGAGCATTCCATGCAGCGCTGGAATATATATGGGCTGTGCAATTGTATATGGCGAATGAATAGCAGGACTATGCACTGACATTAGTACCTTTACTGTGCCAACCTCGGATTTTCATGGATTTTCTGTGTGCTGCCATCCAGTGCTGCAATGTTGTTTCACCAGGTTTCACCTCCAAATATCCACATGGCAGTTCTTATGCCCAGGTGCAGATTATCCTCTGCCAACTCACGTCTTTGCAATTCCCCCAGCGGTGCATCCCGTGTGATCTGCACAGCTGCACTGGTGAAAACCACCATGCAGTAGAAGGGCGCCATGGAGGGGATGGAGGCAATGTCCTGTCAAAATTCATCAAAATTCACCATCTCACCCGATCTCACCAAGTCTGAATTATATGAACTGTGAATTATTATGGTTAAGGAGTTAAGGACAAGTGGTGCTCCAAGAAAGCTTCCCGTGGGCCTCCACAAAGTCGCCATAGCCTTCGTTCCGTTCCAGCGCCAGGCGCAGCGCCAGCCCTACCGGCAGCGCATTCTCCGCCACCGCGGCCCGCTCCCCGCAGGGCTCGCGGAAGTTCACGGCCGCGGCGTAGGCGCCGGGCCGCTGGGCCGTCAGAATCCCGATGTAACCGGCCCAGGTCGTGGCCGTGTACAGCAGCTGACGGCCACGAACGACGCGCACGTCGATGTTCAACGCCTCTGAGGCAAACGGAACGGGGATAAAAGTCAGAGATTCTTGCACACACTGCATAGCCAGAACAAACAAGAGCACTAGAAACTGAAGAATATGTGTTCCTTCAAAAGTCTGCAGGTTCTTATCATTCTGTTTCCAAATTTCAGTTGCACAATTGAATAATAGATATAATATATATATATAATTATTTATTTATTTATTTATATGTATTTGTACATGTATTTTACCTTAGTTAGGCCTTATTCCAACATGTTCCAACCCGACCCATCAGATCGCCTTGAGCTGTGGGAATTCCCAATCCAAGGTCCGCGCCAAGGCGATGCTGCCATCCTCCAGGCGAGCCGCTACAGCGGTGCAAGCGCAGTAGGCCTGGACGGGATGTATCAACGCATGTTTTAATAAAAGAAAACGTGAAAACGTCTAAAAATAGATGGCTTTCAAAAAATCTATGTAATATTATGTAATACATCTTTGGATATGTTTGATCTTTATATAATTTATATATGTTGCTTGATCTACCGATAATTCATGATTATTCCGGAAGAATTCTCTTCCGGCTGCAGCTTGAAATTGCTAAGGCAAGCCAAAGTACCCACAAACCTGGACCTTCACATCATTCGCATCACTTATGAACATCAGAAACATCATGAACATCATGAACGTCGACATCATATCATCAGTGTATATCAGTGTCTCAGGTCACTTAACAAATCTATGTAATATTATGTAATACATCTTTGGATATGTTTGATCTTTACATGAATTATGTTGCTTGATCTACCTCTATACACCACCAGTGTCGTCGCCTCGTACTGAAGGCTCAAGGAGCACAGCGCCTGCAGCGGCACTTCTGCGGCCTCGGCGGCTCCCCGCAACTCTGCTAGCAGCTGGGCCATGAAGCCACCAGCCCCTGGAGCAGCACGTCTCCGTCTAACGGGCTGTCCAAAGAAAGGATAAAAATGATGAAAATGTAGGAAAAAATATGGAAAATATGAAAAGCAAATAGGAAACAATGACGAGAAAAACAAGTGATGACTCCAAAGTAGACACTTATCATCCACATCAATTTAAGAATCAAAAGCTAGATGTCTCAGTGATCATTGTGACTCTTTGGTGCTTGCAGTTCGGCATCCTTGGAGCCGTTCCAACAACTGCAAGGCTTCCTTCGCTGCAAAGCGCGCCACTCTCTGCTCCAAGCTGACCTGCAAAAACAAATGCTGCAACTGTGCAACTGGAGGATTCCAGGATCAGTTCAACTTGTGCATCAAACTTCCAGAAACGATCGTCATAAGAATAGAGGATCATTCTGCCCCAATGGAGGAATCACGAGGAAGATCTAAAGAATAAGGCAATAAGGATGCCATCTGAATGAATGGAGTCTTCCAGGAGTCTTCCAGATTCCACAGATTCCACAGGTTCCAGCGCTCCAGCTCCGTGGCGCACCTTCCGCCGTCGGCCCTTGGACCGTGGCGTCTCCAAAGCCACCTGAAGGTCCTGGCGCCAAGCTGTGAGATGTGGATTTCATGAGATGTCTGAAATTGTCTGAATCGAAGTGTGGAGAAATCATGAAATCTGCAGAAATGGCAAAATATGGCAAACATCCGGCAGAACAAGCTATTTTCTCCCTCTCTGATTTCAGCCAAGCATCTGCGAGTTGGCGAAGCATCGGGGCATAGGCCTTACACAATCCAGGCACTGCGATAGAACCGATAGCTGACATTTTGAGTTGTCCAGGATAAGGTAAAAAGATTCAAAAACGGATCCCGCTAATTGATGTTCATTTCAACCACTTAGAAATGGTTGACATCCAGAACAGTAAAACATGATGATGAAATATAAAGCATGACTCGACCAACTAAGTTGTCAAAAAGTGAAGGCATTGAAGCATGATTAGACACATTAGACATCATTAGACTAGACCTCATGATTGACATGAAGGACATGAAGGTCGGAAGGTACAGCTGAGGGGCTGCCGCAATGGCTTTCCAGCGCAGCAAGGGATCTTGGTCCAGGTCCACATCGAAGACCGGGATCTCATCTCCATCCATCCCCAAGGACGACCAAACCAAGCCACAGGTGCCACGGTTTAGGTGTCGCAATGGGCCGCCATGGCTAATGATTGGCTATGTCATGCACAGAATTCTGTTTAGGGTAACGGAATGTAACGGAGCTCTTCACATGGATGCTATGCTTGGATATGCTTGGTGTGTCGCTACCGGATCTTCCCATGTCGCTACTGCCCGCTGTGACCAATGTGTCAACCTTCGAAGGCGAAAAGGATCGCTGGAATGAGAGTCCTCTTGTTTGGGCCGGGGTTTGTGGAGGGGCTGAAAATCATTAATTGTCTAAATAGCTTTGCACAAGTGACATGGAATCAAGGCTGATGGGCCCCATTTCAGCTCTTTGCACGTCAAGGTTCTATGATTTTCATGTCATCCGCGGATTTCCCGCTTCAACACAGCCAGAAGGTTCCAAGAGTGCTATATGGCAATGAAAGCAGAACCCTCAAGTCATTCTGCATCAAGTTTGATTTTCAAGCCAAATTTTAAGCCTTTTGAGTTTCGATGACCTTTTGGTGACCTTTTGGTGACCTTTTGGTGACCTTTTGGTGTGCTTCCCACCATTTCCTACCAGGGTCCCGTGGTGGTCACTCTGGGCCGGACCCTTTGAAGCCCTTTCGATCCGAGTGGTCGAGGCAAAGGTCCTCGCTCTGGCTGATGCCTGCCATTCGTGCGAAACATATCGTCGGTGTGGACAAAGAGACATATCGCTATGTCATCGTTGTCATTCTTGTTATTTTTGTTATTATTTAAATATATGTATATATATCACATGTACAGGTACATGGAGAATTCCAATCCAACACTATAACTGTTTTGTAACCATAGCTGCCATAGCTTCTGAATGAAAATGCGATGAAGCACTTGCGAACTGGAATGCGCATCTAAGTAGGGTGGTTTGGGAATCCTCCCGCAGACTTCCTGTCATTTCATTGCGTGCTACACTCGTTACACATTTCATTGAAATCAGAGCGACTTCGATTCTCTCGGAGTCGTGTTACATCATTATTCAATACATAATTCAATACATATCCATATAACCATATACATCCCGGCGGAAGGGAAACCGCGCGAGCGTTTTGATTGGTTGCTTCCAGGAGAGTCACAATCACCTGTAATTTACAATATAAAATGCTCTTCCGATCAGTTTGGATAACTGAATTTGGGTTAAAAAAAGTGGATGCAAAATCTATTGATTTTTAACAAATCCAGGTAAACATCATGTGCATCAGACGTGGATGCGCAGATTTTTTTTCACACTCTTCGTCGGCTCAGCGATCCATCAGTGTGGAAGCTGTCTTCGACAGCAAGTTGCCACTATGGCACTCATAACGCCACTGCCAGCAACGCAGGTATAGCATGACATCTTTGTTCTGCCCTGCCTTTGTCTGCAAATTGCTAGGCACAATTTTTTTAGCCAAATTCCACAGAGAGTCAATCTTCCCAGCAGCAGCAAGGATCTTAGCAGCGTTGCAACATGTAACGTAGTAAACAATCCCAGAGATCTTAGCAGCGTAGCAACATGTTACGTAGTAAACGATCCCAGAGATCTCAGCAGCGTAGCAACATGTCACGTAGTAAACGATCCCAAGGATCTGAGCAGCGTAGCAACATGTAACGTAGTAAAAGATCCCAGAGATCTCAGCAGCGTAGCAACATGTCACGTAGTAAACGATCCCAAGGATCTCAGCAGCGTAGCAACATGTCACGTAGTAAACGATCCCAAGGATCTCAGCAGCGTAGCAACCTGTAACGTAGGAAACTATCTCAGAGATACCAGCAGCGTAGCAACATGTAACGTAGTAAAAGATCCCAGAGATCTTAGCAACATCGCAATATATCCTGTACGAAGTTTGAGGAACGTTAACATGCCCCCCCACCCCACCCCATCCCAACCCCAACCCACACTAACATGGCAATATATCCTGTACGAAGTACGAGGAACGTTAACATGCCCCCCCACCCCACCCCACCCCGACCCCAACCCACACTAGAGATCTCAGCAGCGTAGCAACACGTAACGTAGTAAAAGATCCCAGAGATCTTAGCAACATGGCAATATATCATGTACGAAGTACAAGGAACGTTAACATGCCCCCCCACCCCACCCCAACCCCAAGACAAAGAGCAATACTCAAAAAAGAAGCAAAACGCACGTACGGTTTTCCTGCCGTAGGCATATACATGATATTACCATTATAGATATAATCATTATTCATATATATATATATGTGTGTGTGTGTCTTTCATGATCTTTCCATTCGTCTCCCACAAAGTCCATCAGACAGCTCGAGCTCGAAGCACAGCTCACCTTCTGCAGCACAGCGCTTACCGAGGTGAGCAAACCAACCTGGAGGTCTGCCAGCTGGACCCCGGAAAAAAATGTAAAAAGTATAGGCAGGAAATGAATTGGATATCATTGATATCATTGAATATGACAGAATCCAATCAAGTCTCCTATACAATCAATAAACCTTTGGATTATGTTGGATTCACATTCCAACCTATGCTTCCTCAGCGATTTCCAGCCCTAGGTCAACTGGTACGGCTGGGATTCACGCGGTCCCCTGGACTGGTGAGCTGCCTAATGTCATGGGCAGTCAAAGTGCAAGTCTCATCCCAGCAAAAAAGGGGACTTCAATGAGCTTGAGACAAATTGTCCAAAACTGTTGTTTGATTCTTCGTCTTGGCAATGATCGATGGTTTCATCAATAGTTTCTTATTTTTGCTCCATGGAACTTCTTTTGGACACATTGGTACGAGTAGGTGTCTGTTTTTGTTGGTCTTGATCTGCAATTCCCCAGACCTCAGTCCGTGATAGTGATTCCCCTCTACAATACTCCGTTTTGTCCCTGGCAATTATCCGTTCCAAAAAAAGGGCTGCAGCTCTTTTCAAACGTCAGTGGTGCCCGGTGAAGGTTGCAAAGACTGCGATGGTCTCGTTCGAGAACGCAATCTTCTCCGAACATGTCGGCGAAATCCATCATTTCAACGAGGCTTGAAAAGTAAAGCATTGAAACCACACCCCGCCAGCTGACCACAGGTGCTCACCAACATCACCAACAGTGTCAATTTTTGCTTTCAATTTACTATCTACCTCACTTGCGAGACGACCAAGACCTCGTTGGCTTGGCCAAGACTTTGGGACCGCTTCAGTCGACTCAGTCATCACTTTCCACTTTTTCTTTCATCTCCTTCGCCATCGCCACGAAGAATTCCTTGCCCTTCTCGCCGAGTCTCTTCTCCGTGCTTTCCCATTCTTCATCACCTTGGCATATGGCATCACGCTCAAGAACAGCTGTGTCACAACACATTGTCGCAACATCATCAACATGATAAGAGCGCCCCAGAGCTTTGGAAGGGAAGTGCCAGCAAAAAAATAGGGGAGCAATCGTCAAAATTTCGCAAACATCTGCCAAGTTCATCCTAAATTTCAGATCCGTTTCAAGTGGCTGAACTGGGATCTGTCCATCAGCAACTTCTTTCCGGTCATCGCGCGATAGCAAATGTTGTCTTCCTGCAGAAACTCCACCACCAGATCCTCGGTTCTTTTTGGGGTAGGACGGGTAGGAAGGATCACAGCCAGTTGCCCCATTTTCTCAATAACCTGCATAGACTGCACATAGCGAAATGCAGCCCACACTTTGTAGTCCTGGGACGGGCTTCAACCTGCTGGAGAATCATAAGCAATGCGAAGTTCGGAACACTACCCTACTGTCATGAAAGGTCAGAGCCCTTCTGTTTGCAATCCAAGATAAAACGATAGGGTGGAGACTGGCTATCCGGATTTGGTTTGCAACGGATACGTAGATGTTTTTCTGCGAAAGATTCCGCGGGATGTGGATTTTTGCTGATGACGAGGATCATGGTCCCACATGTAGACGCAGTGTTTTGCTGCAGATTCTGGCATCCCGACGAATGGCCTGCCATGGAACTGCGGTGAGACACATCTCTTTCAGCCATAGACGACAGTGATTGAATTGAAAGGCAGCAAACCAAACTAATAACAACATTTACTGTAACTGCAGAGTTGATGCCTGAACGCGGTGACTTGTTCTTTCATGAACCTCAGTGCAACACTCAGAGCAAGAGGGTCGTCAGTTGGTGACATGAAAGGTGCAATAATCAGCAATTTTCATTGAACAAGGCCACAGCAGTAAACGTGCCATACCTGTCTGAAAGAACTCTTCGCGCTGAAGGACTTGAGCGCCGTCTTCTCGAGGAATTCGTCCACCTTGGCCTCGACAGTCAACATTCGCTTGCGACACTGAAAGTCCCATGATAAATGTGTGAAATATTGGGAAGTATTGTGAAATTGTCCAAAGTGGGGAAAGAACTCCTCTTGTTGGACCTCGTCAGATTTTTGTCCAGCCTTATCCTCCTCCTTCTCAAACTTCGCCTCTCCCTTCAAGAGCTGGCTACCTTTGCAGTTGCAAGTGACGCCCACCGTGGCCAATTTGGACTTCACGACGTAGCCCTGCCACAACCAAGCGGCCTGACAGAGCAAATGACACATGGGAACATCAGGCAACAAGTCTGCAAGCTCTAAATGGAAGGCTGAACAAGGGCCAAAAACTGACCATAAACTGTACTATAGTCATGTGATGATCACGTTGGATTGTGATGCATTCATGGTGGGTTGCAGACCTTATCGGAAGGCAATGGAATGCACATCACATCAAACTTCATCAAGCATCATCTAACTGGGAACCCTTGAGCTGGGAAGCCTCGAGCATCTCAGTCCCATCGCCACCAAGCTTTTCATTAATGGCCTGCACTGCTTTCCACAGGGCCATGGCTGACAGGGCTGACAGGTCGACAGTTGCCACACCACAGTTCATTCAACGGCTGCAAGGTGAATCCAGCCTTCTGAAGGGTCGAACAGGTGTCCGTGTCCAAAGCACCAATGACATTCTTCAATTCGTCAGACTGTTGCATTTTGAACACCTAGGTTGTTGCATACCTGATCTGGAATCTTTATACTAGTGAGATGTGAGTTTGTCTCAAAATGGAGGCTACCCCAAAAATTCCATGTTTTTGTCTAGAGTTAGAATAACGATAAAACCATGTTTTTCATGGGTTCCGAATTCTCAGCCAAGCCCAAATGGCTGTTCAGCCATGGCACCGATGCTGCCATGGCAGTCGCGGCAGAAGCTCCATTTCCCATGGCAGCAACGAAGCAACGGTGGTGAGGCAACGCACCGAGTGCTTGGGAGCAGCTGTGGGGCTGATGGAGTTGGCAACAGTTCGGAATCCGATATCAATATCCAATATCCCCTGCATCAATATTCATCAATATTCATCAATAGTCATCAATAGTCATCAATAGTCAATATCCATCAATGACCATCAATAACCATCAATAACCATCAATAACCATCAATATCAAAACCTTATATAAATTTGTTGATGTTCACCCAGGCCAGCCCTTGTTTGTACAACACCAGAACCTGCATCAGCAATGGAAACCCTGACAGTTGCCCCCCATCTGCGCATGTTTTTTGCGATCTCATCCACGGCTGGCCGTTTTCTGATGCTTGGCTCTAGGTTCAGAATCCCAAGCATCATCTGGGCCGTCATTCTCAGCTTCGGCTTCATCCTCCTTGGCGCACCGGGCCCTTTTGGCAGAGGTCTAGAAAATCCCTTGACCAACTTCACCAATTTCTTGCTGCTGTATTGTTTTAATGGCACAAACTAGAATTGTAAATTTGTAAATGTCAACAGCCTTCCTATGTCTCCATGCTAGCATAGAGAAAGTTGTCCAAACTGATCTCAATGAAGCATTTTGGGACAATATATGTACATACAATTCTATATATATATATACATCAACTGTTGGCACCTCATATCAGGCGTTCCCTTTTAACATTTCCATCATTTCCCTAGTCCCAAACTGGATCCCTGTGGAAGTCCTCGTCTCCTCCAGTGGTTTCCACCTGCTCGGCGAAGAGCTTCTGCAGGACTTCGGCCGCCTCCAGCTGCACATCGCCCAGGCGTTCGCCCACCACGGCGTTGACGAAGTCAGCCACCAAGGGCCTCGTTTCACGTGGCTGGACAAACTGAAAACTCTGTCTATAACAGGAATAATACAGGAATATAACTTACATCAATTTATAGAAATGACACCACACAAATGAAAATGTATAGATAAAACGAACATGAAATTCAAAAGAACTGAAGCCTTCAAGACCATTGGCAAACGCAAACAAAACACATAGGAAAGAAATCTCTTCGGCCTGATGCCCAGGCAAGTGCGTCAGGTCATTTGTCATATTTCATACATTTAGGCTGGAATCAACTTCGTCTCATGTTGGAGTAGAACAAGTAAATTACCCTTTGAAGTGCAGTATGTTGCAAATGAATGATGAGGAGCATTGAATCAAAAGCAGTACCTTCCTTCAATGCAACCCACCTTTGCCATAAGGTAGTTGCGATTCTCAAAGAACACAACCAAGACTTTGAATCTGAACCTTTCCTACTAGGATACCATGTCCCAATTCCATGATCCTAAAAGGTTTTTTAAAAAAACGGGGTATATGATAATAAATTGTATAAATTGTACAACGCAACAGTCACCTCCCCATATCACGATGGACACATGATCCCTGCCTCAACGCTAGCAGCTCATCAGCCACACGAAGGTCCACGGCCACATGCCAGGTCTCCAACTCAAAAATGGCGCGTTGTTTGCGCTGGATTTCCTCTGGTGGTGACGCTTGGTGGTTCAGACCGTTCAGACCATTGAGACATGTTCAGCCAATATCCCCAAACTCTGAAAATTGATCCGAAACTTGGCGAAAACAACATGAAAACTCGTTGAAAGCTCCAAGCAGTCCTTCAAGGAAGGTGCAAAAAGTAGACACGGGGCTGCGCCAATCACAGTGGAGTCATACAAATATCGATCCATAGTCTCCTGAATCTCGTAGAACACCACAAGGCTATGACCTTCCTTAGAATTCACACTCCCTGGATGTGCTTTCACCGGCAGATTTTGGATTGTGCGGCCCTTGCCGTAGCGGTGCAGCCACGCCAAGTTGGGGAAAAGTCCAGCGGTCAGCACCGCCTTCACTGCCTCCGCCCGCGCCACGGGATCCACGTGATCCTCCGGGACGTTGTGGAGCACCTCGCGGACGCTCGTGCGCAGATCCTCGCGCAGACGATGGATGTATTCCTGACATGGGGCCCAAATGGTCGGGCCACATATGGCCACAAGGTGGAGAGTCTGGATATGTGAAGATATGTCTGGATAACGAATGATAACGACATAAAGAGACCCAGGACCAACCCAGGACCAACCCAGACTGTCACCAGTGTCTTGGTTGGAAAGCGTCATGTCCACAAGCATAAACAAGAATAGTAAAAAGTCTCAAGCCAAGGTGAGAGGTCCATGGTTTCTTTCGACAGATAGTAGCGCCAAGCAAAGGATGCCCTTTCAACCTTCCAGCCCTCATAAGCGTTCACCAGCGCCACCAAGTCTGATTTGGATCCCTGGGACAGTTCTACTCGAGCTTTGTTGGCTTCCTTCTCCTTGCCTAATGGGCAAACAAACGGCGACTTATAACCTTGGTTTGTCAGCAGCTCAGTACACCAACTGCTACAGCACATCCATTGCAACATATTGCAACATATTGCAACTGAGCATGCCACCCAAGGAAGCACAAATGGTCAGCATCATTTCAAAGCAACGGAATGGCGCGGCCAACAGCAGCATCTTCCCCAGCATTGGATGCACCTGAAGCAACAGCATTCAACCCAGACCATACAAATCCACAATTCCATCATAATTCCATTCCTAATCAGGAGATTCAGGAGATTCAACGAGATCCAATCATATCGAATCCATCCACGAGATCCACTTAGAAGACCCACCTGCAACTTGGCCAACTTGGCACCCAGAGGAGTCACCTCTGCGCCAGTGTTATCACTGACAGCACCCAGACGCTCCAGCATGGTCACAGCGTGCCGCAGCACATCAGCCCCTGGTGGGGAAATGGCCTCATACGACTCACACGTGTCGCAGCTCAGTAAACTGGGAAATTTCATGGTGAAAACATGTGAAAACTGTGGCCAGGGCCCCACGGGCCCCACCTCCTGCAGGAAGTCTTCGGGCGCACCCAGCTGTAAAGATGCCACCTCCATGGGCAAATAATGGATTATAATGGTGCATAATATTATAAATAGTTATATTGTTCAATATTCTTGGAGAAACATCGTGAAATAGAAAGTTTATACATATATACATGCATTGTTTATTTATTTATTTATCTATTTATTTATTTATGTATGTATGCATTTATTTATTTATTTATTCATTTACTTATTTATGTATTTATTTATTTATGTATGTGTTTATTTATTATTGCAATAATAACAATAATAGTAATAGTAATAATAATATTAATAATACTATACATGTATATACATATATATATATACATGTATATATGCATATATATATATATATTTATTTATTTATTTATATTTATATTTATATACATTCTATCATCTGCAGCTTCCGGCACCTCCAAGCACAGCTCCTCCAGAGGCGAGCGTTGCATTTCAGGCAGTTCGTACTCATCCATGGCCTCCCACTGCAGTTTCGTATAGAGCCGATACCACACGCCTGGACGACATCTCCCGGCTCGACCTCGTCTTTGGAAGCCGTTGGCCTTGGAATACCACACCGTGCGCAGCGCCGAGATCATGGTCTGCTCGTTGAAGAAGGTCGTACGGCTGCGTCCCGCATCTACCACAAAGACCACGTCCTGGAGCAAGTGCCAATTGCAATGGGGGAGCTCAGGAAAAAATAACCACATCAGATTCACCATTGAATGCCATTGCCATGGACTAGATTCCTAGATCTTTGTTTAAATCGTAGACTTGTGACTAAGTCACTTGATTCACTTAATTTGATTACGGGCTGGTACGGATTTGGATAGCACCTCAACGGTGATGGAGGTCTCTGCCAGCACGGTGGCCACCACCACCTTGCGCTTCCCCAGCGGTGGTCGTTGGAAAATCTGCTTCTGTTCCGAGCTGGGTAGCCGCGAGTGCAGCGCGTGGACCTGGAGTTGATGGGCGAAGTTCACCTTCCCCAAGCGCTCCAAGACGTTGCTGATCTCCGACCACCCGGGCATAAAAATCATGATGCCACCCTCAACACCTTCACGATGGATCATTTCAACCACCTGAAGCACCAACTCGAAGTCGATCGAATCAGCCTGGCGAAGACTTCAGTGACTTCAGGTCGATACGAGAGAGGCAGATTTGTCGCAGTGCCGGCGTTTGGTTTCTTTTTGCTCCACTTTTCAACCCCCCTCATCCATTCACGGTTTATTCACAATCTTCGGATCCTACACATCAACTCGATGGCTTGGTCAACAAACCCTCCGCCTTCTTTAGATCCCACGCCTTCTCGTTGTGCACCCGGACCACATCCTGGACATGTGCCTGGCTCAGTTGTGGCAAGGCTTCGGCCACGGAGCGTGGGTTTAAGGGAACTCCCGGCAGCGGCCCTTGGGAGAAGGGCGAGCTGCGACCCGAGCCGCTGGAACGCCAGGCGTTGAGGTCTGGCAAGGCATGCAGAAAATCCTCCAGAAACATCTCCTGGATGGGATAATTCGTCTTTCCAGGGATGCTCACCGTGTGGATGCCTGGGCCAATGATGCCAATGCAATCAAAAATGCTTCAACATGGCGGATTGATGCGGATTGACTGAAGGTATTGTTTGGCCTGAAGCCCTCCGGCCTTCAAAGTACTCTTGGAACGCTGAAGGGTCCACAGTTGCAGACATCAAAATGAGGCGAAGGTCAGGACGATCATGCAGCAATCGTCGCAACAAGGTCAAGAGAAAGTCAGTGTGTAGACCCCTCTCATGCACTTCATCTACCACAATGTGGGTAGCACCTTTGAGGGTGGGATTGCTTTGCATCACCTTCAGCAAGATCCCCACGGTGCAGAAGACTACCTGGCAGCTCTCAGTGACTTTGTCCTGCAGGTTTCGTGTTCAAACAGCTCGACTCGAAATTCTTTGGCTTAGTTCATCGCCTTGATTTCAATGGAACTCCACGGATCAAGGAAATCAGACTGCATTTCCCTATCCTTAAGTGTCTTTAAGTTCACCCCCTTTGCTTCCTTTGTTTTTTCCCCAAATCATCAAATCATGAAAATCCAATGCTGACGTGTCCTATCGTGTCCTCAAAGCGGATCTTGAAGCCCACGGTATCCCCCAGTTGTCCACCTCGCTCCACAGCCACCCGATCTGCCACAGACACAGCAGAGATGCGCCGCGGCTGCGTGGCTGCCAGGCGACAGATTTCACCACGAGAGGCGCAGTCCTCCAGCAGAAACTGAGGAATTTGGGTCGTTTTTCCACAGCCCGTTGCTCCTAAAATCAACGTCACCTGATGGTCACGTACAGCTTGGCAGATCTCATCTGCCATCTGATAGGCTGGAAGATGTTGCCGCAACGGCTGCATCTCGACATAACCAGGTCGTTGCTGTTCCATCTGCAGCTCCTGGGGCCCCATGAAGCAACACGGCTGCTGAAGGAAGTCGACTCCAGCGATCTGCCGTGACACCTGGCGTCGTCGTGGAAGTTGCAGGGCTGACAAGGTCCCAACAGCTGCAGCCAGGTGGGTCGCATCGAAGTGCACGTGGAGAGCGTCCTATCGCACCACGATAAGATGCAAGACGGGTTAAAATCTAAATTAAGCAAATTCAAGCAGAACATCAATGCCAGGTCGAGCATTGCAGTACTTGCCAGGTCAAGCAACATGGTGTCAAGCCACTTCCACAGGCCAGGAGGACAGTCACTGTGTTTGATGCTGTTTAAGAACTCAATTGCCCGGTCCCGCTGCCGCTGTCCTGGTAATCGTCCACATCCCCCACTTTGAAGCGGCCGTTGCTCAGTCGCAGCTCAGCAGCTTCGCACTCTCGGCGACAAACCTCCGGTAGTGATTTGATGTTGCGCAGCTTCAACGTTGCGGTGGCGGAAACCCAAAGGTCCTTGCGCGAGGAATCGAGGAATCGCCAAGGAATGCGAGAACTCCCTTCACAAAAACCTGAAGTGGTGAGACGCTCCCAACATCTGCAAAATCTCATCTACACTACCTTCCCCAACAGAATATCCCAACTTTCCAACATTCAAACTTCCCAAATAATCCTGGTCTATCAGACTATCATGATCATTAGCATCATATTTACATCATATTTCCATGGCCTATCCTCCAGACATCGAAAAATCATCGGAGAATCCACAGCAGCAGCCAGTCCTGTGGCAGCTCTCGCAGCAGCCAGGTGGCCCTGACGGATCCGCCGGCCTTGACGCAGATCCGTCGCACCTCGTCCACCAGGCGCTGCCGCAGCGCAGGCAGCGAGGCGTCGCTGCTGGGACGAGCCAAGGCCTGGAATCCCCATCTTCAGAGAAGCATCATGTGTAGAAAAACGGTGCATGCGAATAAAAAAACATCGTTATTACATCGTTATTACATTTATTACATATTATAATAGTATATATAGATATAGATATAGATATAGATATCTATCTATCTCTGTGTGTGTGCGATATATCGATATATATATATAAATAATATCTCTTTCTCTCTCTTGAAGGATAGCTGATAGAAAAAAAATGTTTGAAGGTGTTCGATCTAGATTTGATCCTTAGAGCCTGCTTGGTAGGTGGATCTGGTCACATGCCCATGTTGTGTTTGAATCCAAGCCACGTAAACGCCCTTGGAGACCTTGAGCCATGCAACACCCATCTCAGGTGCCAAGGATCGGACGGTATTCCGATATTCCTCAGAGATCTCAGAAAGAAAAGGCCGTCATGGCTGTCTGGGAAATACTGCAGCCCAATCTGAAGTCAACCAAAGCAAAGCATATCGAAGCAACCTATGACCTATATTATATATATATACAGGCCCTGCCACCCCCCCCTCCCCCCCACCCCCATGGGATGGGTCCCATATACTGCCCCTATATGATATCTTCCCCCTCCCTCCCTGTGGTGTGGTGGGGGTGTGGTACTGTCCCTCTCCCCCCCTGTGGTGTGGTGGGGGCGTGGTACTGTCCCCCTCCCCCCCTGTGGTGTGGTGGGGGTGTGGTATGGTATGTTGGGTATGTATGGTGTGTATGGTCGGTCTGGTATGGCATGTCTGGAAAGTATGGTATGTTTGGTATGTTAGGTATGCTATGTATGGCATGAATGGTTGTTATTGTATGGATGGTAAATATGGTATGTAAGTCTGTTGGGTATGGTATGTTTGATATGACAGTGTGTATGGTTAGTATGGTTACTATGATGGGTATGGAATGTTTCCTATGTAAGGTAGGTATGGTATGTATGGCATGTATGTTTGGTATTGTATGCATGGTAGGTGTGGTACTTGTGTTTCATATGTATGGTATGTGTGGTCTGTATGATAGGTATGATAGGTATGGTATGTATGGTTACTATGATGGGTATGGAATGTTTCCTATGTAAGGTATGTATGGTATGTATCGCATGTATGTTTGGTATTGTATGTATGGTAGGTGTGGTAATTTTATGTTTCATATGTATGGTATGTGTGGTATGTATGATAGGTATGATCAAAGGAAGTTTAGGGGGAGAAACTTCCGTGTTACGGACTTTTGGAATGTCAGGGAAAGAGTTAGTCAAAGAAAGAGTTAGTGAGGGAAAGAGTTAGTTAGGGAAAGAGTTAAGTGTAACTTTTAGACTGTCAGGGAAAGAGCTAGTCAAAGGAAGAGTTAGTTAGGGACAGAGTTAATTGTAACTTTTAGAATGTCAGGGAAAGAGTTAGTCAAAGAAAGAGTTAGAATGGCATTGCAATTGGTGCTGGTGGAGGAGTTGCCGATGGAGTTTTGAAGGAAGTCTCGCACGAAATGCGTTTTTGAGAGATAGCAGATGCACGAAACCCTATGTTTTTCCATACAAAGTCCGTCCCCGAACCTCGATGATCTACCTCTGCGGTGCGACGGTTGCGAGACGGTCTCGTGTGTGGTCGGATCATGGGCGGATCATGGTCGGATCGGTTCCGCATTGTAAATGGGGTTTCACCTGTTTTTCGTGCATGTGCGGTCGACAGAATTCCATTGTGATTTGCAACTGTAGGATCGTTCCCGCAATGTAAATGGGATTGCAAGTGGTGCTGGTGGATGAGTTGCCGATGGAATTCCATTGTGCTTTGCAACTGTAGGATCGTTCCCGCAATGCAAATGGCATTGCCAGTGGTGCTGGTGGAGGAGTTGCCGATGGAGTTTTGAAGGAAGTCTCGCACGAAATGCGTTTTTGAGAGATGCAGATGCACGAAACCCTATGTTTTTCCATACAAAGTCCGTCCCCGAACCTCGATGATCTACCTCTGCGGTGCGACGGTTGCGAGACGGTCTCGTGTGTGGTCGGATCATGGGCGGATCATGGTCGGATCATGGTCGGATCGGTTCCGCATTGTAAATGGGGTTTCACCTGTTTTTCGTGCATGTGCAGTCGACAGAATTCCATTGTGATTTGCAACTGTAGGATCGTTCCCGCAATGTAAATGGGATTGCAAGTGGTGCTGGTGGATGAGTTGCCGATGGAATTCCATTCTGCTTTGCAACTGTAGGATCGTTCCCGCAATGTAAATGGGATTGCGGTTTGCAGCTCGGTCTTTGGAGCTACAATTTCCGACGCCGTTGCGCGTAGTTCTATTGTGTTTTGCAACTCAGTCTCTGCAGATCGCATTGTAATGGCTGCGTCAAGGTTGCTTCGTGCTGTGGCTGCATTCGTAATACTAGTGTCTTTTGCAGCTGGATCTCGTAAATCGTATTGGAGTGGCTGCATGAAGGCTGCGACATGGATTTGTTAGCAGATTTTCTCCATTTTGGCGCTAGTGATTTTTCCTTCTAAAAATCCTTTTAAAAAGTGCTTCAAAATCGTCTTTTTTTCGCTCTGGCGTCGAGATCCGGTTTTGGAGCTACAATTTCCGACGCCGTTGCGCGTAGTTCTATTGTGTTTTGCAACTCAGTCTCTGCAGATCGCATTGTAATGGCTGCGTCAAGGTTGCTTCGTGCTGTGGCTGCATTCGTAATACTCGTGTCTTTTGCAGCTGGATCTCGTAAATCGTCTTGGAGTGGCTGCATGAAGCCTGCGACAGTGATTTGTCAGCAGATTTTCTCCATTTTTTGGCGCTACTGATTTTCCTTCTAGAAATCCTTTTAAAAAGTGCTTCAAAATCGTCTTTTTTTCGCTCTGGCGTCGAGATCCGGTTTTGGAGCTACAATTTCCGACGCCGTTGCGCGTAGTTCTATTGTGTTTTGCAACTCAGTCTCTGCAGATCGCATTGTAATCGCTGCGTCAAGGTTGCTTCGTGCTGTGGCTGCATTCGTAATACTATTGTCTTTTGCAGCTGGATCTCGTAAATCGTATTGGAGTGGCTGCAAGAAGGCTGCGAAATGGATTTGTTAGCAGATTTTCTCCATTTTGGCACTAGTGTTTTTCCCGAGAGCGTCTGATCGCAGGGTTCTTCCAATAGTGGGGGTCTGTATCTCATCTTCTCATCTTCACACCTTCTCATCTTCACACCTTCTCATCTTCACATCTTCTCATCTTCACATCTTTTCATCTTCACACCTTCTCATCTTCACATCTTCTCATCTTCTCATCTTCTCATCTTCGCACCTTTTCATCTTCACATCTTCTCATCTTCACATCTTCTCATTTTCACAGCTTCTCATCTTCACATCTTCTCATCTTCACATCTTCTTCATCTTCACATCATCTTCACACCTTCTCATCTTCACATCTTCTCATCTTGACATCTTCTCATCTTCACATCTTCTCATCTTCACATCTTCACATCTTCACATCTTCTCATCTTCACATCTTCTCATCTTCACATCTTCTCATCCTCCCATCTTCTCCTCATCTTCTCATCTTCACATCTTCTCACATCTTCTCACATCTTCTCACATCTTCTCATCTTCACATCCTCACATCTTCACATCTTCTCCTCTTGCCCTCTTGCCCTCTTGCCCTCTTGCTCTCTCCTTCTTGTCTATTTCTCTTCTGAAGGCGGGGGCAGGGGCAGTGCAAACGAGACGGCACGAAACGCAACCCTTTCGCACGAAATGAGGGTCGATCGGCAAAAACTGAGGAAAAATTGCGATTTGACTTGTCCCAGAGCAACCCTTTCGCACGAAATGAGGGTCGATCAGCAAAAACTGCGGTAAAATTGCGATTTTACGTGTGCCGGAGCAACCTTTTCGCACGAAATGAAGGTCGATCGGCAAAAACTGAGGAAAAATTGCGATGTTACTTGTCCCGGAGCAAACCTTTCGCACGAAATGAGGGTCGATCGGCAAAAACTGAGGTAAAATTGCGATTTTACTTGTGCCGGAGCAACTCTTTCGCACGAAATGAGAGTCGATCGTCAAAAACTGAGGAAAATTTGCGATTTTACTTGTGCCGGAGCAACCCTTTCGCACGAAATGAGGGTCGATCGTCAAAAACTGAGGACAAATTGCGATTTTACTTTGTCCTGGAGCAACCCTGTCGCACGAAAATGGGTTTGTGTGTGCGAGTGTTTCTCTGTAAAGATGTTTGTGTGTAAAAGTGTTTGTGTGTACAAGTGCATCTGTGTAAAAGTGTTGTGTGTAAAACCTTCTGTGTGTAAAAGTCTTTGTGTGTAAACGGGTTTGTGTGTACGAGTGTTTCTGTGTAAAGATGTTTGTGTGTAAAAGTGTTTGTGTGTAAAATTGCATCTGTTTAAAAGTGTTTGTGTGTAAAAGCTTCTGTGTGTAAAAGTGTTTGTGTGTAAACGGGTTTGTGTAAAAGCTTCTGTGTGTAAAAGTGTTTGTGTGTAAACGGGTTTGTGTGTAGGAGTAAAGTGTTTGTGTGTAAAATTGCATCTGTTTAAAAGTGTTTGTGTGTAAAAGCTTCTGTGTGTAAAAGTGTTTGTGTGTAAACGGGTTTGTGTGTAGGAGTGTTTCGGTGTAAAGATGTTTGTGTGTAAAAGTGTTTGTGTGTAAAAGTGCATCCGTGTAAAAGTGTCTGTGTGTAAAAGCTTCTGTGTGTAAAAGTGTTTCTGTGTAAACGGGTTTGTGTGTAAGAGTGTTTTGGTGTAAAGATGTTTGTGTTTAAAAGTGTTTCTGCGTAAAAGTGCATCCGTGTAAAAGTGTCTGTGTGTAAAAGCTTTTGTGTGTCAAAGTGTCTCTGTGTAAAAGGGTTTGAAGGGTGTTTGTGTAAAAGTGCATCTGTGTAAAAGTGTCTGTGTGTAAAAGCTTTTGTGTGTAAAAGTGTCTCTGTGTAAAAGGGTTTGTGTGTAAGAGTGTTTCTGTGTAAAGATGTTTGTGTGTAAAAGTGTTTGTGTGTAAAAGTGCATCTGTGTAAAAGTGTCTGTGAAGCTTTTGTGTGTAAAAGTGTCCGTGTGTAAAAGGGTTTGTGTGTTAAAGCGTCTCTGTGTAAAATGGTGTGTGTGCAGAAGGGTTTCTGTGTAAAAGGTGTTTCTGTGTGACAGCGGCAATGTGTGTGTAAAAGCAGCCTTGCTTACATGTTTTGTTTTCTTGCCCCGCTGATTCTTTGGCATGTTTGTTTTCCGGTCATCCCTGTCATGTTCAGGCCTTGCCGGCAAGTTTTAAGAAATCCTGACTTGTTTGCTTGGCATGTTTAGTAGGCATGCTTACTTTTACCCTGAAAGAGATATGAATGGATTAATGAGGTTACATTGGGATTCACTGATTTTTGGGTTGTGGAGTTTGTGAGCATTCCTGACTTCTTTGCTTGGCATGTTTAGTAAGCATGCTTAATTTTACCCCG